ATCCCACATGGCGCGGCAGACCTCTCCTGTCTTGTCTGCTGCTCCCCTCAGCAGTGTATTTCATCAGTCTGTCTGTTCTGTTCCCCGCCCTGTCTCTGGTGAATCCTCTCACCATCCCGCACATCTGGCCTGTACCTCGTTTTTGTATAAATAAATAAAAAATCTTAAAAAGAAATATAACTTTCTAGACATTGGCAAAAACTGAAAAGTCTGGCAACACAAAAAGTTGGAAAGCTATGGAATTTCTACCAGCATTCACATTTTTTAAGTGCTGGTGGAACTTCAAAAGTTACAACTATCATGAAGGATAATTTGGCAATAACTCTCAAAAGCATTTTATTTCTTTGCTCATAAACAAAAGATATTTATGAGAATTCATTCCAAAGATATATGCTCAATGTACACAATTACACTGAAATATTGATTGCATTGGCAAAAAACACTGAAAATACCCATGACTCTAAATTAGAGACTGCTTAAATTGAGTCTGACATAACCACACAGTAGAATACTATATAGTTATCAAAAAGAAAATATTCTTTTTACTGTGAAAATATCTCAAAATATTACTAAATGATAAAAAAAACAAGGTGGAGAGGTATGTGTAGTAGGCTACCTTCAATATAATAAAGAAGCATTTATATACATATATGCAAATATATGCTTTTTGCATAAATTATGAAAGATTAAAAAATAACTAAAAAAGGAGTTGTTTGCTGGATCTAGGTGGGGCAAATGAGGGCATATAGAAATAAAAATGTGAGAAAGACTGTCTCTAAAATTATTTTGATCCATTTTGATAGATCTCTTATTCTCAAATTAAAAATAAAAAAGACCTTCATAAAATGTAAAAACTCAGTATAACCACAGACTGCTTAAGTATCTCAAGGTATCTGGGCAGGCAAACTAGTGCCTGAACTTACAGAACTCTCTCTTCCTTGGCAGGAACCATTTGAAGGTCTGAGGTCCTGATGATGGATAATACAATGAGATACAAAATGTGGACATTCAGTTAAGTTTACCCCTGTTCAGCAATGCCCTTGTTATCCGTAACCCTGAGTCATAATTTGTTCAACAAGTCTACTCTACAGTAATCTCAAACTGTCTTTTTGGCTTTACACTCAAGCTATACTTGAAGCTAACAATACTAAACTTACTCTCCCTTGGAAATTCTTTATTACTCCATCCTGTCCTTTGGAATGTTTCTCACCTCTCCAGTTCTAGCTTACTCTGTAAACTATTAATATTACAAGGACTTACTCCAAATGTGTCCTGATTTCTCTGATATGCTCGAATGATAAAATTCCTGCAAAATTCTCAGGCTTGCCTGGCACATATCGGAAATACTAAAAAAAAAAAAAATGAATTCCTAATATAACATTCCTTAGATCTTTTTATGTTGCTTGACAAATTTTATTTGCATTACAGTTATTAAAGTACTAGTCATACTACATTATAAGTTTTTAGATACAAGTGGTACGCAGGGTGAGGGAGTCATACATGAGTAGCTGGTAAAATACATGATTAAACTGAAATCCTGGTTGCATTCAGACTTATCCTTAAACTAGCACTGTATTTTGATCTGATGACAGGATTAAAAGAAGTTGCATATCTTAGGCTTTTAAATGTGACCATTTGTGGTTGTGTAAAGGAGTTCTGTGGCTTTTGCCACAGAGAAAGGTGGCTTATACTTTCTTGTGGAGAAAGCATTTTAATTAAAACATGTAGAGACCCCTCTTTTCAGGGGCTGTTACCAAGATTCAATTAATAACTCAACTATAGTCATGTGACCCAATTCAATTCGATCAAATCTCAATCTGGAATCTCTACAGAGGTGGTACAGGAAAGGGGACTCTCACAAAAGAGTTTGCTGGAAGGATCATACATAAACCTGAAGCTTTCTTGTCAATGCAGTGTCAACTTCTGCCAGAAACTGCTTATAGCATAGTTAAAAAAAAAAAAAAAAGCTATGAAAATGAGACCTAACTCTGATTGTACTGTTGTTTGATCTCCTGGGGTCAGTCATACATATCTGAGTTCATTTTCCTTAGATTTTTCAATTATACAAGTCAATGCTTATATCTTTTGATTTTTCAATTATACAAGTCAATGCTTATATCTTTTGACTAGACAAATATTAACTAGTTTTCTATCATTTGCAAACAAAGGCAATTTAACAACTAAGTTGAAATTTAGAGTGCTTTTAAATATATTTCAGATTCCATTTGGATTACCATTTATTTCAGAATGCAAAAATAGATGTCTTGGTACCAAAAGAGTCAAGATAGTAAATGATTTTTAATATATATACGTAAAAATGATGACACTAAGTATTTTCCAAGTGCATGGGAATACCAAAATAGTCTGAAGAAGTATAATTTAGATTATAGATTTAGATTATAGATTATAGATTTAGATTATCTATTAAAAGAAAGTTGGTATTTCTTCAAAAAAATCTTAGAGAACTGGTACTATTTCTGTGATAGACCTTTCATATGAGATACTCTCAGAAATTTTGCTTTAAATACCACAAGCAGGACCAATGTTTAACAAAATATTATTTTGGCCCCCAAAAGACGGTCCCCAACTATTTGTCATTATACTTGTCTCTTCCTTGATATAGAAGTCGTCAATATTTACCTGTTCCTGCAGCTTATGTCTATTAAGATATCTTACCAAATTCGACTAGGAGGAGAGGGGGAAGCCTGCCTAAAAAGTTAAAAAAAAACAGAGCTCTGTAGCCTTCTCTATAAGCACAGATTTTTTTTTAAGTATGTGTCCTAAGTGCTAGGAAATAGGATGAGTAAGTTTCAAGGGCCATAGGGATGATTCGGAAGCAGCAAATTGGGGTCTGGGAGATCACAAATCAGGGACAGAATAGACCATTTCAGATTTAAAAAGAACAGGAGGAAGATTATCAAGGAAAACTTTTTTCTTCTTTACTGAATTTGGCTGAGTGCTGGCCCCAAATGGAAAAGTATGATATTATTTTAACAAATAAGCTTTGAAATGACTCTCCAAACAAGATCCCCTGCATATATTTTACTTCAAAATCTGTTTCTTATTTATTCACTTTATACACACACACACACACACACACACACACACACACACACACACATATAAAGGCATAGTAACCTATGGTAACTCATTTGTGAGTAATTCTTAATATTTGGTCCACACATTCAAAAGATAATGCATCACATGTTTTTACAAATAATTCTGAAAATGTCTGAGTTTATACACCTATCATCTCTTCTTATTCCTCTTTATAAATTCATACTAAGTTATGTCTAAATAATTCTTAATTTTGTACATACTCTATAAAGTATTTATAATTTTACTTTTAGTAAAACAAGTTTTATAAATAATTTGATTTTTTTAATATTAAATGATTTTAAAAATGCTAATGGATTTTTCATTACCCAATGCTTATGTGGATATTCTTTCATGCTAATGTGAAAGCACATCATGTGTTTATTCATTTGATATTCCTTTATAATAAAATGAAGTAAAGTAATAACTTATCCAGACAAACTATATGAATTATACAGTTTCTATAGTTAGAGGTTCAGAACCACAATATTGGAGTCAGATTTAAATAATGCTATCCATTGTGAGGAAATACAACAAATTGAAAAACTAATCAGAATATCAAGGCAAACACATGTTATCAGGGTTTTATTACTGTATAACAATAAAAAAAAGTATTGAACACCAAGTTCTAATCTCTATTTTTTTATGATCATTTTAATAGTCAACAAGTAGAAAGCTTCAGTACTGACAATTGAAGAGATCTTAAAATGGAGTGTGCTAGTATGCCTAATAATTTCCTACTCAATTGACCACATCAAAAACCATTTATATGTGTCTTTCAGTAGGAGACAATAAAAGAAAAGAAAATTGTTGCCACTTATCAATACTGTAACCAATTTTTAATAACACAAAAAAATAGGTGTTGTGGGGGCTATCTCTTCCCCCATCCAACAGCACAATAAAAATAATAAAGGGAAGAATAGATCATATCTGCAACTTTTATTAAAATTCTTTCAAAAATCTATAGTTGGATTTATTTTGGTGTTTGTCTCTGAGATTAACAATACTTTTATATTTTCTGTACATATGTCATAGCACACAAAGACAGTCTGTGAAAGAATAAAGGCAAAATAAAAGTTCTTTTCAGTTTATGATTAACAACTTTTCATTTTGAAGGTTATTTCTTTGGAAAAATCTCAAAGAAGGAAAATTATATAACTACATGAAAAACAAAAGTGTATCTCAAATTTGCTTCTTTTCCCAGAAGTAACGTTCAATGAAGTCAACTGTTACTGTTCTTTTAAACATAAGAGTTTTGCTTAAAAGAGACACTTACTCTCATTTTACCCTACATATTGAAAAAAATTTAGGGGGAAATACTCAAATGTAATGCTAGAAATCCTTATTTTACATTTTAGAACTTTCATAGTTTTTAATAGCTATTTAATAAACTATATGTTTGAGAATCTTTATAAAGTTTTCTGAAGTCAACTTTACCTCTTTACTTTATAGTGGCTATCTTTCATACTGCAATTTAGATGTTTTTTCTTATTATCCAGATGCCCGTTTCTCTTTACTATCTGGAACTTGAATGGTATGTATTTTTTATAAAACAATCAGTTAAAGATACAAAGCCTGACATTTTCTCTAGTAGTTATTTCTAAAAGCAATTTCAAATGAAAATTATACCTTATTCTGTCTTTACTACTTTAGTATAAAATAGTCGCTACTGATCCTGTTAGAATATCTTAGTAAAGGACCTTAGATTTGACAACTACAAATATAAAATGAATATTCTTCCTACATCAAAAAAGATAAGCTGACGTTTCAGCCACAGGTAAAAAAAAAAAAATCAGTTCTTTTTTTTGTAGAAATGTCTGTATATTCGCAAGAAAGCATAGGTACTTAGCCGAAAATGTTCAAGTTTAAATTTAATGTTCAATTTAAAAGGAAAACTCACTTACCTTTCCCGGTGATGACTTGTTATTGAAACTGCCATCAACTTCTAAGTGCTAATAACTCTTTCAGCAAAAAACGGAAAACAGTCAAGTCACATGTTGTAAGAGTAGGCCTACGTTGGATGCTGCTTAATTTCAGTACTTAAGAAAAAAAAAAATGGAGGGGGGTGAGGGTTGAACATAAAAACTTGCATGAAACCACTTCCTGCATAGATACAGTTAACCACATGCATCGCAGTTATTCGATTTTAAGACATTGCCTTGTATAGTCAACAACATCATTATTTTTCAACGTGATTTTCAATTTTCAAACGCTACACATTTACATAGGCTGCATCAATTCTGATTTAGTGGGGAAAATATGAAGTTAAAAATTCAGCAGGAGGAGGGGCAGGCTGCTATGCACCGAAGGAACTTCCTCTTTCTCTGCCTTCTAGCAAGGGTTTAAAAGCTATCTCTACTAACCCTCCTTGGGTTTGAGCATATTCATATGCGATCAGGAAGCTCTGCCTATTGACCTATTGACGTAGTAAGTTAATTTCAATTCACAGAGCTGGTGCTTTGGTCTCATGGACTGACTCACAAAGAGATGCCCAGTTCATGAGTTCATGGGCCTTGAGATTACATTAGAACTTCAGAGAACACAGCCCAAAATCTTGCTGTAATGGGAGCTGCACTACTCATGTCGTCTGACAAAAGTCCGGGCATGGGGCAGATTTCTGAAAAATCAGGAATCTCGTTAGCTGACTCCAAGATTCTCCTCATTTGTTTATGGCTAGTTTCTACCATTGCTAAAAATATGCATTTAAAAGTAAAACTGCAAATACTGATCAATTACTCAATAACCAATTTGATGGCAAATGGCACTGCATAATACAATTATTACATTTTTTATAAAATTAGTCTTTCTCTGCCAAAAGGCAGTCAACATTTGGCCTTACAATAACAAGTGAAAAAACTTCTGGGAACAAAAGGCTGTAAACATCCCTTGGCCAAGTCTTTAATATGGAGATGTGGTCCTTTTAGGCAAGAACTAATTGGAGAAGGAAATTCCTTTACTTTAAAGATAGCAGTTGGGTGGCAGACGTGATCCATTCTCCAAGTGTAAGAAAATTCCTGATGAGCCAGGAGGCGCCATAGCTAACTCCTGCTAAATTCTTCCTGTTTGTTTAGGGCTGATTCCCCTGGAGGTGACAATTGGTATGGTAGCTGTTAGAGTATGCATTCAAGAATAAGTCAACAGCAATTTTATGACTGGTCAAGCTAAAACAATATAGATAATAATTTCTAAATAAAAGCCTTCTGTTTTTTACTTTAATCAATTAGTTATATGTTGGTCTAAACTTCATAGGTTAGTTAGAAATAATCTTTGTCTCTCTCCCCCCAGGTAACTTCCTGCCCTTTGTTTCGCTCAGCCCATAGTTAATCCTTCAACCATGGCAAACTTAGAAATGTTAGTGGTAGACACATACACTCTTTGCTAGTAATAAAATAACTTTTAATCATGAAAAACCGAACATTAATTGGAGACAATTTAGGTTTTAGGTTCCTGGTTAATGCATTGACACTTTATGCTGTGGCACTTGCTTTAATGTTCAGACTTTACAGTATATAATATTTTTGATGTTCTCTATAAGCCAAATATGCTTCTACCAAGAACTTACATTGATTCCACTTATTCCATGCAACAACCTTCTGAGGTTTTATTATATCCCTTTCTTTTTTCTTATAAGGAACTGAGGCTAAATTGCAAAAATTAGTAAGGAGTAGAAGTGTAACAGGGTGGTCCCCAGGAAAGGGGGAGGTTCCCTGCCCCCACCCAAGGGAGGGTGGAGCTGAGCAGGAAGAGGAGAAGCTGAAGAAGAGACTGAGGAAGGAAGGAAGCAGGATGGAGCCAGGAGACCTGGAGGAGGCGCATGGAGCCTAGAGACACGTGAAGAAACTGCGCTTGTCTTTGGGTTGTGGACTGGGTGACACAGACATGGGTGAGACCCTGTGGGGAGGTGACCATGGCAGCTTTTATCTTGATGTTGATTTTGCTCTTTTCCTTCCGGGCTTGTCCGGTTGTTTGTGACCCTTTTCTGTGGGTCCCCACTGGAAGATGCTTTAGACTTGTGGCAGGCTTTGGAGCTTTGCTCTGGGCCAATCCCATTTGGATGGACTTTTACCTACGAAGGGACGGGTAACTTTGGATGCTTGATTTAGAAACTAGATTATTTGCCTTACCTGTATTGTTTCCTAGTTTTATTAAAGTTCCTTCCCATTAAAGTCTCATATGTGTTGATGCGGCGGATGGCAGAACCCATTTAGAATAGGCAGGTTTGCGGGGTTTGGGCTGCCCCTCTCCCTGTCCTATAACAAGCAGGAACCAAACCCAGGGACTCTAACCTGAATGAGCCCTTGCTCTAAATTACAATAGCTAGCTCCTGACCTCTTGCCATGCATCGCAACTTTAGTTCAAATTCTGAGTCCAAAACTCAATTTAAAGATCAGGAGAGAGAAAAATAGCAGAATATACTTTAAAAGGGAAGTTAAGAAGGAAGGAAGAAATGGTAAGCTTGATGTCCTGGGAGCTAAATGTGTCATTTTGTAACAGGGTGGTCCCCAGGAAAGGGGGAGGTTCCAGCTTCCCTGCCCCACCCAAGGAAGGGTGGAGCTGAGTAGGGAGAGAGGAAGCTGAGGAAGAGACGGAGGAAGGAAGCAGGATGGAGCCAGGAGACCTGGAGGAGGCGCATGGAGCCTAGAGACACGTGAAGAAACTGCGCTTGTCTTTTGGTCGTGGACTGGGTGACACAGATGTGGGTGAGACCCGTGGGGAGGTGACAATGGCAGCTTTTATCTGGATGTTGATTTTGCTCTTTTCCTTCCGGGCTTGTCCGGTTGTTTGTGACCCTTTTCTGTGGGTCCCCACTGGAAGATGTTTTAGACTTGTGGCAGGCTTTGGGGCCTTGCTCTGGGCCGACCCCATATGGATGGAGTTTTACCCACGAGGGGATGGGTAACTTTGTGTGCTTCATCTAGAAACTAGACTCTTTGCCTCACCTGTATTGTTTCCTAGTTTTTATTAAAGATCCTTCCCATTAAAGTGTCATATGTTTTGTGTTGATGCGGCGGATGGCAGAACCCATTTAGAATAGGCAGGTTTGCGGGGTTTGGGCTGCCCCTCTCCCTGTCCTATAACAATTTCTTATAACCAAGAGTTGTTTTTTTTTTTTTAAGATTTATTTTATCCTTTAAAATCAGGAACAAGACAAGGATGTCCTTTCTCACCACTGCTCTTCAATATAATACTGGAGGTCCTAGCCAGAGCAATAAGACAAAGAAAGACATACAAGGAACCCAGATAGGGAAAGAAGAAGTAAAACTGTCACTATTTGCAGATAATGTGATAATATGCATAGAGAACACTAAAAACTCCACGGAAAAACTACTCAAAATAATCAACCAGCTCAGTAAAGCTGGTAAAATCAACACACAAAAATCAGTAGCCTTCCTATACACAAACAATCAATCTGAAGAAGAAATCAAGAAAACCAATCCTTTTATAAATGAAACAAAAAAATCAAATACTTGGGAATAAACCTAACAAGAGGTGAAAGACCTTTACAAAGAAAGTTATAAAACACTGTTAAAAGAAATAGAAGAAGACACAAAGAAATGGAAAGACATCCCCTGCTCATGGATTAGAAGAATTAACATTATTAAAATGTTCCTCCTATCAAAAGCAATATACAGATTCAACACTATTCCAATAAAAATCTCAATGACATTCTTCAAAGAAATAGAACAAATACTGATGAAATTCATAGGGAAACACAAAAAAACACAAATAGCCAAAGCCCTACTGATGAAAACAAAGGAGAAAGATGGTATCATACTTTCAAACTTCAAGCTACACTATAAAGCCATAATAATTAAAACAGCTTGTTATTGAAACAAAAACAGACACACAGACCAATGGAACCGAATAGAGAGCCCCGAACTAAAACCAACTTATATGGACAACTGATCTTTGACAAAGGAGCAAAGAATATGCAATGAAACACGGACAGTTTGTTCAATAAATGGTACTGGGAAAACTGGACCACCACATGCAAAAAATGAAACCAGACCACTACCTTTCACCATGCACAAAAATCAACTCAAAATGGATAAAAGAACTGGACATAAGACCTGAAATCACAAAATATATAGAAGAAAATATAGGTAAAACACTACAAGACATACAACCCAATAGCATCTCTAAAGACTCATCACCCAAAGCAGAGAAAGTCAAGGAAAAGATAAATACCTGGGATTACATCACACTGAAAAACTTCTGCACAGCAAAAGAAACATTAACCAAAACAGGGAGACACCCCAGTGATTGGGAAAAAAATCTGCACTACAGTCAGCTGATAAGGGACTGATCACAAAGATATTACAAAGAAGTCACACGACTCGGCTCAACAAAAACAAAATGAACAATCCAGTCAAGAAATGGGCAGAACACATGTGGTACTTAATACATGGGATCTCCTCGATGCGTGTCCAATTGCATTTTAAATAAACTAAACCAGGTGTAGACCAATAACAAATTCCAACTCTTAGTGAAACAAGGCATGTAAAAAATATGGAGCTGCTTAGATGCTCACAAAAAAGATTGTTCTAAATCTTTAAATAATCATTTAAAATGTGGCATTATATATTTGTCTGAGACATCACACAGATCTTTCTGAAAGTAAATAATTCTAAATAAATGCTTTGGTCAAAAAAAAAAAAAGAAATGGGCAGAAGAACTTAAAAGACATTTCTCCGAAGAAGAAATGCAAAATGACCAACAGGGATATGAAAAAATGTTCAACACCCCTTATAATCAGGGAAATGCAAATTACAACCACATTGAGATACCACATTACACCAGTAAGAATGGCACATAACAAAAAACAAGCAACAACAAATGTTGCTGAGGATGTGGTAAAAAAGGAACATTCCTACATTGCTGGTGGGAGTGCAAACTGGTCCAACCACTATGGAAAGCTGTCTGGAGGTTCCTCAGCCTACTAAAAATGGAGCTACCACAAGATCCAGCAACTCCACTATTAGGGATCTACCCAAGGGACACAAAAACATTGATTCAAAAAAACACCTGTATACCTGTATTTATTGCAGCACTATTTATAACAGGTAAAACCTGGAAACAACCCAAATGCCAAAAAATAGATGACTGGATCAAGAAGATGTGGTATATATACACAATGGAATATTATTCAGCAATCAAAAAAGATAAACTCATGCCATCCACAGCAAGGTGGATGGAGCTAGAAGGAATTATGCTCAGTGAAATAATCCAAAAGGAAAAAGAATGATATCAGATGGTTTCATTTATACCAGGAATATAGGGGAACCAAATAAGACACCACTGTAAAAAAAATAATAACAGTACAAAACACAATAAAGCAAAAACGGACAATTATAAATCAGAGACATCCTGCAGGGGAGGAGGAGGGAGAGGGATTAGAGGGAGGGAGGGAGGAGCACAGGGGACTGAGGTGATGGTGCATGGGCCCATTGGTGAAGGAAACTCTATGGGACTACATATGAGGGGGTGGAGGGGAAGCAAATATTGTTTAAAAATGAACAATGATGTAAAAAATTAATATAAAAATATTTATTTTATGCATATAAGAACTGGGGTACAGGCCAGAGATGAGGGGGATGAGAGGATTCACCAGAGACAGATTGGGGAACAGAACAGGCAGACTGACTGAAATACACTGCTGAGGGGAGCAGCAGCTGAGGCAGGAGAGGTCTGCTGCACCATATGGGTAGGTTCCTGGCCAGGGATCAAATTCATGCTGCAGTGGCTGCAGATAGTTTCATAGTGCTGCCTCTTAACACCTTGTGCCACCAAGGAAGCCCAACTTGTAACCAAGTGTTATAGAAAAAAAAAAATGTGTCTACTCATTCTCTCATTCATTCAATGAAAATACATAATACATTTACTTTATTCTAGACAGTGCACCAAGCTCAAATACAGAATTTGTGGAGATTTCTCATGTCACTGCGTGGGATGCGACAGAATGAGGAAATAACATAAAGCATATTAGTCAATAGGTCCAAGTGTAGTAAGAGAAATGAAGAAAGTTAAGCAATGCCAGCAAATAATAAATACACACAACTCTTCCAAGATATCATAATCAAAAGAGAAGTTAAATATAGTTTAGATATGTAATGCCTTGAGATGGAAGTGTGACAAGGGGTTTTGTTCTATTTGTTGGTTTTTTTCAGATGGGAGGAAAATAGTTTAATTCTATGCTGATTACAGTGATGCAATAAAGAGGGTAAATTTGGTGATACACCATAGAAAATGGAGACTCAGCAAAGCAATGACCCTGAACAGGTAAAAAGAGAAGTATTGGTCTTGGCATCAAAACAGATCACAGGAACAAGAGAAAAAGGAGATTAGACATAAACGAAAGTGGATGGGTATGTGTTTTCGATAGTGACGCTTTTGACAAGGTGACTTTTGATACAAGGCATGGAAAAGTCAAGGCTTGAACTTGGTGAGTGTCTGGAAAATAGGTCCAGGCAAAATACATGGGAAATGCTAAAATGGAGCATATATGGCAATTTGAAGAATAGCAAAGAGACATGTAAACTTAGAAAGTAGGGAATGGGGGTGAGATTATCAAAGGCATTGGAGTCCAAAGTGAGAACAATATTCTTTATGCCCTTTTAGAAAGCCACTATGCTAGGTAGCAAGAATTTATAGACAAAAATCTCCATTTCCCAGGCCTCCCCGGTGACGCAGTGGTTGAGCGCTGGGTTGCGAGGCTGCCTGTGGCCTCTGTAGCGCCGGTTCGATCTCCGGCTGCTCCCTGGCCACCAGAGGAGGGTCCCACATGGCGCACAGACCTCTCCTTCCGCCCGCTGCTCCCCTCAGCAGTGTACTTCAGTCTGCTTGCTCTGCTCCCCGCTCTGGCTTTGGTGGGTTCTCTCGCCCTCCCGCGCTTCTGACTGTGCCTGTAACAGGGTGGTCCCCAGGAAAGGGGGAGGTTCCAGGTTCCCTGCCCCACCCAAGGAAGGGTGGAGCTGAGCAGGAAGAGGAGAAGCTGCAGAAGAGACTGAGGAAGGAAAGAAGCAGGATGGAGCCAGGAGACCTGGAGGAGGCACATGGAGCCTAGAGACACGTGAAGAAGCTGCGCTTGTCTTTTGGTCGTGGACGGGGTGACACAGATGTGGGTGAGACCCATGGGGAGGTGACAATGGCAGCTTTTATCTTGATGTTGATTTTGCTCTTTTCCTTCCGGGCTTGTCCAGTTGTTTGTGACCCTTTTCTGTGGGTCCCCACT